TTGCTTGTGGTCTAGTTGGAGGGCCTGGTCTGGTCTCTGGGATGAACATTGGCGAGAAGTATGCTGTTTTTGAAACGGTATGTCATTACATATTAAAATTCGATTGAGTTGCTCAATTTCAGGATATTTTTAATTTTATTTCTCGTTTCGAACACTTACCTAAAAAGTTACAAAAAATTCAATGCTTTGCCTGCTGTAGAATCAAAAATTAAGAAAGATGGAAACACTAAATGGTTGTCCGAAGAAAATTGAAATTCGTTATCTGCAGGAGTTTGTCCGCATTTCCTTGCTACTTCGAGCAGGAGTTTTCCATCCAGCCTGATAAAGTTCTGCTTGAAAAGGATCGCCTTTTGAGGACTCAAATAACTTTGCAGGGAACGCGAAATACAGGAACATCGTTGGCTGGTAAAGATCTCGCTAATCCAACAGCATTCATTAGGGCTAGTGTTGACATGTTAAGGTATTATTCTGCGGTAATCAGTGAAACTAGAATGACGCAACACTCTTTAAGATATCTTGGCTGCGATAAACACGCTAATATGATCTCGGATGCTTTGTGGAAAACACTGGTCGAGCAAAAGGTTCACACTAGAGACGTCGGAGGCACACATAAGGTAAAATCATATACTCTGACCTATTCAAACATAATAAATAGTCAATATTATAACTCGTGTTTAAGGCGTCTGAAGTGGTGAAGATAACTCTCGAAAACATCGATAACATGATGCGACAGTTACGATAGAAAGTACGATATAGGAAGGCTGCAGTGTTATACGAATAAGCTCGGATGATTTATAATGGTCCTAGAATGGTAGAAATTCACTGTTCTTCAAGATTTGAGGAATTCAAACGTATTCTGTATATAAAACTATTGGATCTGTATGACTTCCAACATTATTTTAGAATTGAAGATACATTTTCAAGATTTACTTGCATCATAGCCATGAGTGGATGTTTACTAGAAGAAAACCAATTCAAAATTTTGCAAATTAATGTAAAGAGGGACGAAAACAAATTGGATAAAAGAAACAAGCAATACTATAAAGAAACACAGTTCAAATGCTTAGCCTAAAAAGTACAAGTAGATAGACCATACTAAATTATAAGAGTCTTATGATATTAGCAAAAAAGTCAGTACCCTTAATAGAAAAGAAAAGAAGCTAAGATTGCTACGAAAATAAGATCAAACATTCCGAAGTAGAACTGGTATGCTAATACTACCTTCTTCCGCGCATGTACTGCTCAGAATCCAATGAGATCTGATGTTTTTTGTTTTCAGTGAGTTTGACAGTCTCTTGTTGGTCAACCCACAGTTCAACATCATCATCTTTCACAATGGTACAGAACGACTTCAAAATACTCTATAAAGACTGATGTTTATCTTCGCTAAAAAGTTGTTCGAAAGGGAAAAAGGATCACGTTTATGTTTCATTTTTCTTATTAAGCCACAAGACTTGCAGAAATAAGAAATTGCAGTAAAAGCCAAATTTAAACTGACCATTGGCTCACAGACGAGAAGCGCGCGAGGTCCCCAGTCATAAGTATATACTTGCGTTTCAGACCGATCTGTTGCTTTGGCGAAGGAGATATACCCTAAAATGTGTAAAAATGATTATTGTTCTGATTGGTGCTTCAAGGTTTTGCAATAAGCATTCACAGGGACATTTACTCATAGAGATTCACTAGAGTTATGGCTCTACTCACCTTCCCTTATGAGCGAAGAAAGGGTAGGACCGTCACCTAAGAGAAGCTGAGTAATCACTGACTT